AAGGCAGACGAGAGAGGGGGAAGCGTGAGCTATGGTGACACTGACCTGTTGAGCGCTGTTGTTGACGTTTGGCAGCTGGCGCTGATGAGCGCCAGGCTTGGAATTCATGTTGATCGAAGAAGACTTGTAACTCTGTTCAGCGCTATACACTTTGAACTCACGATGTTCTCTCTCTAGATCTGGATCTGATAATTGAGTTGAGCTTCCTGGTTCTCATTCATCTTCTATTGGGCTTTGTGTGAAACTTCGCAATCTGTGAAATCAGTGTATATGCATGTGATCTGATGCACTCCAGCAAGTGATGAACAGTCGGGTTCCTTCATATTCTCATAAGGGACGCTGGACCCGGTTCCCAGCACATGCTGCTCCCGACAAATAGACTGGAGCATCGTTCCGTTTCGAAAAAAAATCAAAAGAGAGAGAGAGAGAGAGATGTGGGAGCACACTGACAAATAATTCTAAATGGATAAATGTCTTATCCAGTACACCTGAAGCTATATGGCATATTGTTCTTAAACCACTGCTGCACAACACTAGTAGACCACATATCCGCGGTTTGCACTGCAGAACTATGGTGTACTGGTGCATTATATATAGAGTGTTGTCCTGTAGTGGTTTAAGAACAATATGCTATATAGCTTCAGGTGTACTGGATAAGGCATTTACCTGTTTGGAATTGTCTGTCAGTGTGCTCCCACCTCTCTCTCTCCTCCTCCTCCTCCTCCTCCTTTTCTCTTCCCGTATTGCTCCCTTAAGTGCGGAGCYGYGGTAAACTGGTGCATTATATGGAGAGTGCCGTGCAGTAGTGGTTTACAAACAATATGCTATATAGCTTCAGGTGTACTGGATAAGGCATTTATCCCTTTGGAATTGTCCATCAGTGTGCTCACACCTCTCTGTCCTCCTCCTCCTCCTCACCTTCTTCCCATATTGCTCCTTCACGATTCTTGGCATACCGAATCTGGGTGGGAGTATGCCACTCAACCCCAGATCCAGTGTTTGAGATGGATCTCAAATCACGACTACTGGCCAGAGTGCGGACTGCAGAGCTGTGGTCTGCTGGTGCATTATTTAGAGAGTGCTTCAGGTGTACTGGGAAGAGTGCTGTGCGTTTATCCCTTTGGAATTCAGTCCATGTGCTCCTACCTCTATCTCTCTCCTCCTCCTCGCCTTCAGCCCGTATTGCTCCCTTACTGTCCTTAGCATACCAAATCTGTGTGGGAGCATACCAATCAACCCCAGATCCAATGTGTCAGAGAGTGGACTAAAGATTATTAGTTACTAGTCTTGATCTGAGATCCACCCTCAGATATGCTGGATCTGGGGTTGAGTGCTGTACTCCCTCCCAGATTTGGTATGCTGAGGATAGCAAGGGAGCAATAAAGGAAGAAGGTGGGGAGGAGGAGGAGGAGAGGAGAGGTGGGAGCACACTGACAGAGAATTTCAAAGGGATAAATTCCTTATCCAGTACACTGGAAGCTGTATAGCATATTGTTCTCAAGCCAATACTGCACAACACTCTCTATCAATGCACCAGTATACCACAACTCTGCAGTCCTCTCTCTCTCTCTCTCTCTCTCTCTCTCTCTCTCTCTCTCTCTCTCTCTCTCTCTCTCTCTCTCTCTCTCTCTCCACCCACAGCCCCCACCCCCTGCCTTCTGGCATTTAGGGCCTCTCCTGGAGGTTACAGTTCAAGTTACCCCAGTATCACASAGTCAAACTGCTCTTTGAGCTCTATACCGCTGGTCAGCTGGCCCTCTGGCCAGCCGTCAACCACACTTGAAATGAACTCTGTAAAATTAATAATTATCCCACCGCTGGTCAGCTGGCCCCTCTGGCCAGCCATCAACCAGGCCTAAAATAAACTTCGTAAGATTATCCTCGAAACTGACCCCAGAACCGACACCAAAACTGACCTCAAACCCTCAGGGCCAGAATTGTGTTGCTCGCCTGAATTTAGGGTTATTTTAATGCGAAGAGTGGATAGGGAGGTATTCCCCATACCTGTGACTGACGCAAATGAGGCTGAAAAGCCGGACACTTCGGATCTATGCTGGACGATGTGAAATTGTGAAATTGACTCGTCATTGCAACGCTTGTCTGTTTCCTTTTTGGCACTTTGGTCAGTGGATACTTTGAGAGCTGCGATGAACTCGTGGACGAATGGGGCAGCTGTATTGGGAAGCAGCTGGAATGCTGTGGACAACCCTTGTGCAGGATGGACAGGAGTGGTATGCAATGAGAATAACAAAGTGGATACTTTGTAAGTACCTCTGTGAATATCGATTGCAGAATCAGAACTCCATGATGGCTACGTCTTTGTTGCTCCCCTCTCATCTCATCTCTATTTGTTGATTGGGTTTTTTGCAGTGAAGTATACATCAATTTCTTTCTTCCTTTAAAAGGGACAGTTGTTACGGACTCCGCCAGGGC